CTCCATATTAATCTGGTTAAATGTAAATTAATTTAATCTTACTCTACGGTATATGAATGGTGTTGATCCGGCATGTTGTCATTGCGATAGTGACGACCGTAACATAATTCTCCCGTTTGCATTGTGATCTGTATTTTTACATATTTATTTTAATATCTTTTATATATCCCTCCATGGCATATTTAAGTCCCTCTTGAAGGTCCATCTGTGTCCCAAATTGATCAGAAACACCTCAGAAGAAGGTTTTCACTGACAGCTGTCATTGTAAGACCGTGAGCAGCTCCGTTTGTTTGTCCGAGTGAGCAACAGTAACTAAGGGGGGCGGGACTTACCGATAGGTCAATTGGCTATATTACCAGCTTTGGTTGAAACGATTGTTCTTCTAATTGGGGTAAAATTTATTTTAAATCATTTCTGGACAAATTGAAAAATAATAAGGTCTCATTTGCTAATAATTGTGTATTATCACAAACATGAGAAATTCTCCCATAATTCTGCCTAATTCATAAGACGTGCATGCAAGCAATACATTTGTTTTTAACCTTGTTCTGATGTTGATGAATGCATGTCTGAGGCTAGTCATTTATGCAGAATACCATCTCCATATTAGGGCTTTTTTTTTTCCATACATGTGATTAAGTTGTTTATTGTTTCTTTTTTTCTTCATGAATTTAGATTAGATTTTAAAACAAAATTTGTTGATGAATCATGGTTTATGAAAACATTGACCGCATATTTGTACAATCCTCATCATGCTCTCAACTGTGATTGTGCATAACATCTAGGTTTAATGTAGTCACTCATTTAAATGTAATGTTCACATTACATTAAATCCACATTAGTGCAGTTTCGTGCATTTCGCTCCGATTTGTGTATGTACCTTCCATGAGAAATGCTTTTGTCAGTTTTGAGGGTTTTACTCTTAATTACTTGAATGAATAGTGAGCTGCTGACATTTTCTGTGTGGTTACATTTGTTTGTTTGTGTGTGTGTGTGTGTGTAAAGGAATGTGATGAGCAGTCAAGAAGTGGTGGACTTTGTAAATGAGAGATTGAAAACCGAGGCTGGTAAAAACAGACCCCTGTCTGCCATTATTGAAGAGGTAAGTTATGAAAAGTGTTGTTGTTTGTGTTCTTAAAAGTGCTTATGACTTCAGGAATGCAGCTCCGTAGATGTGTGACATTCTCTTGATTTAAAAACACCCTTCTTGGCAAGATGCTAATGTTAAATATGCAAACACAGTCAGATATGTATTAAGTGAAAATGTATTTTGTGTCGGGATTAAGCGCTTTTTTTTTTACTTTTATTATTTTGTAAAGTCTGATGCGGTGTTTATTTAATTAAAAAATACTACAAGGCTACATGCCATTTACATTTGTTGTTTAGCCGCCGTTTTGAAAATCATTGAATTTTCACTTAAATATGTATTTATGCTGTTTTCTGAAATCAAACTGTTAAAAAATATATTATTGGCATTAATATTGTCTTGTAGTCATTATAACCATGAAGAAAAAAATCAGTCAGCTTGCTAAGTGTTTCTTTTGTTCACCGTCTAGCTGCTGGACCACTGCTTAGCGCCAGACACCTCAGGAGACGGCACAGGATGTGACAACATGACCTGTGTAATTATCTCCTTCTCACCACACCTTGGGAGCAACATAGGTGAGAGCACCAAGAAGCGAAAGCCAGAGGAAAGCGCAGCGGAGGAAAACGGCAACTACAGCAAAAAATCCAAAACTGAATAGAAGTGCTGTTGTTGAATGTGCTGATTATTTTCAGGACACTTTCCCCTTTGAATACAGGCCACTGGGAAAATTTTAAGGATGGCTCCATAAGAAAGAGCGTTTTAGTTTTAAACAATTCAAAGACGCAAGCAACTAGAACTGTTAACCCAGACCATTTGTTCTTTTTTTTTTGTTTGTTTAATATGTCCATCAACAATATCCGTAATTGATAATTGAATAAACAAAGCACAGCATGGTAGCAGAGATGATGACACACACACACACGAGTCTGTGTCCTGATGTATCCGTCTCGTGCATTGTACCCTTGTTTATGTACATAGTGTTTTTTCCAGTAACTGTTAACTTGATTTGATTTTCTCTTTCTTTTTTTAGTAGTGGATCATTGTGTCAGTATTTGTGACCTTTTTTTCTGAACACCAATATGTTATTGATCAAATACTTTTTTTTTTTTTTTAAATAATGTGATGAAAGATGCTTGTCTGTATTATTTAAAAAATAAATAATAATGGATTTATGCTGTTGATGTTTTCGTAAACTACAGAACTCCGTATAAGTGAGTACACCTAAACTTAAATTCAGCAATCACTCTACTAGAAAACAGGGTGGTTCTTAGATGCAATGTACCAGCAAATCTGCTTGATCAATTACTGAAGAAACATGTCCGGATTATTCAGAATATTGTTTTCTTATCAAAGTGATAAAAATGAAGATAAAAATAAATAATAATGGATTTATGCTGTTGATGTTTTCGTAAACTACAGTACTCCGTATAAGTGAGTACACCAAAACTTAAATGCAGCAACCACTCTACTAGAAAACAGGGTGGTTCTTAGATGCAATGTACCAGCAAATCTGCTTGATCAATTACTGAAGAAACACGTCCGGATTATTCAGAATATTGTTTTCTTATCAAAGTGATAAAAATGAAGAAGGAGCCCAATCATTCAGTCCTGTCAATCATCATTACGAGCGTATATAAGCAGCAGTCATTGCACCTTCCCAGCGACAATTCTTCTGGCATCCCTCCACCTCCCCATCTCCTCCTCTATTTTTGTTATTCTCCTTCTATGTAGTACCACAATGCGTGGGTTGAACTCCGAGCTCAAGCTGAGCCTCGGGTT